TAGAATACCTTCCAATACCATGAAGCTAGTCAGTAGGGGTGAAGACTCTAGTTAAGCACCAGCTCAATTTCTATGTATTTGATGAGATGTGTAGTGTTGCCTTAAGCAATAGACCTTACCATCATTTTTCTGGAAAGCAGTCAATAACCTTGGCAATAGCCTGGGCTGCTTGGGATCAGTGACACAACAAAATGTAACCCATTCCTGGTTCTGGAGGTTTCACTTGATGAGATATTCTCTTCCCCCATTATTTGGTGACTTTATTTAGATTACTTGTATATATGTATATATTTTAGGAAACTTCTGCAGTAGCAGGCTTCCTTATGACCCCTCAAATGTCCCTTAGTGTTAATTGTACCTCCCATAGTCCCTTCTTTCTTCCTCTCTTCCTTCCCCCTTCCCATTTAGTCCTCCCATTCCAACCCTTCCCCCATCTCTCTATAAAATTATATTCTATTTCCCTTTCTTGGGAGCTCCTCTCCTCCAACCTAGTTCCTTACTAAGTACCTAACCTCTGGCGTTATACAGATTATAGCACTAATATTGATGGATTATGAGTTAATCCACATATAAGAGAAAACAATATTTGTCAGGGTTACCTCACTCAGGATGATTGTGTCTAGCTTCATCCATTTACCTACAAATCTGATACTATTATTTTTCTTAACAGCTGAATAATATCCAATTGTATAAGTATAACACATTTTCATTATCCATTCACCAGGTGATGGACATCTAGGCTATTCCTGATTTCTGTCTATTATGAGCAACAATGAATATGAATGAGCAAGTGTCCATAGTAGGACATAGAGTCATTTGGGTCTATGCCCCAGAGAGGTATAAAGTTCTTAATATTTGTCCTTTTAAATTTAGAAACAACTGATTACAAAGTCCACAGAACATGGTGTAAGGTGAGGACCTCAGCGACTGCTGATCTTTCCTCAGCTGTTTACCACGTATCTGTCTGTCCTGCACCACTCAGTCTTGTTTACCACGTATCTGTCTGTCCTGCACCACTCAGTCTTGGACTCGTCATTACCCAGATGCAGTAATTAGAAGAAAGAAACACACATGAATTTTACTCTTTGTCGAAACCAGAAGTATCATTTCAAAACAGTTTGATAAGCTGTTTACCTCAAGTGAATGTAAAATACTAGTGGTCTAGCTAGTTTTTGTCAACTTGACACAATCCTGGAGATATCCTGGTAAGAGATGCCCTCAGCTGAGAAACTCTCTCCCACAGATGGACCTGTAGTCAAGTTCTCGTGGTGGCATTTTCCTGATTACTGACTGATGTGCAAGGACCCAGCCTACTGTGAGCGATGCCACTGCTGGGCAGGTGGTCCTGAGGGTATAAGAAAACAAGGCTGAACACGCCATGAGGAATGATCCCGAAAGCCGTGTTCCTCTACCACCTCTGATTTGGTTTCTGCTTTCAGGTTTCTTCCTTGAATTCCTGCCTTGGCTTCCCTTCGTCATGGGCTCTGGTGTGACAGTTTAAACCTTGTCTTTCTCAAGTTGTTTTTGGTCATGGTCCTTATCACATCAACAAAAAGCAAAGTAGGACTGCTGTTTTCCAAAAATGGTGGAGAGTTTTTCCATCTAATTTGGCTTTGTATGTATTTCAGCCTGTAACTTTCTCACCTGGGCACTAACCCTTTAGCCACATATTGTTGCAGCAGTGAGGAAAGCAGCTAACACAGCGTGCCACCTGGAAGCTTCCGGGACTATTGTTAACTCCCCACAGCCATCAGTGAAAATTGTTGAAAGCAAATCATTTTTGGAGAGGGACTATTTTGTCACAGACATAGTTTAGAAAGCCAATCAACTCCCTGTCTTAAAACAAAGAAATGTTTTAAGTAAGAATTCTCTGCAGATGGTGAGCACACCCATCTGAATCCAGGGCAGGCATAGCCCAACCCCACTCAGCAGGTGCTGCTGCATCCGGTGTGTGTGTGTGTGTGTGTGTGTGTGTGTGTGTGTGTGTGTGTGGTTTGTGTATCTAACAGGATTGAAAATGACTTTGTTTTCCAAGAGTTTCAGCAGCAATGCACTTGCTCTTTTAGTTCTGGCTAATGGACAAAAAAAGTGCAATCAATAGTAATAATAGCTGGTACCGACTATGGGTGTGCTCTGTGCCAAAAGGAGAGCTCTTGGCTTGTGGGTATCATCTCTTCTCCATAATGGTCCCCCTGAGGTATTCTCTGTTATTATTTCCAGGTAACAGATAAGAGAGCTGATCCCATAGCTCCTAAGTAGTACAGAAGGCCTCTGAACCCACTGGTCTGACTAGAGCCAGTGCTCTTGACCTTCAAGCTCTACTATCTTCTACTCTGTGCATATCTACCACTAACCCATCATGCAGAACCCAGCACATCACATCGAATAGGGACTCTTTGGGCGATATATCTCCAAAGCTTAAACATATACCATTGTATTTAGTCCTCACAATAGACATCCAAAGTCAGGCACTGAGTACCCTATTTTCCCCTCACATGACAGTGCTTGAGTTGGATTTAGAGTCAGTGTTAGAACCTACATTCAAATGTCAGCTTTTTCCTTTGCTAGTTCTGTTACCTTTCATTTCTTGTCTACAGAGTACATCAAGCCCCATAGAATATGAAAACATCCCTATGCAGAATAAAAATGCTGTTGATTCACTTGGGAAATTAGATATTCAATCTCCAAGCCAAGCCTGCCTGGCAGCTAAGATGGCACTGCCTAGGCTAATGAGATATTCATAGGAAATTTGTTGGTAGAAGTGAGTGGGTTCTTGGAAAACTTCCACTCTTCTAGTCTTACCCAAATCTTCCTTCCTTGAACGTGGTTGTCAATGGTAGATCTGTAGTGGTAATCTTATAACCATGAGACTACAAGTCAAAGGAATCTAAGACACCAATGTCCTAACATCACAAAGTTATAGAACCAATGATGAAAATTACCTATCTCTCTGCATTTGTTTTATTTTGTTGAGACAAAGTCTTGCTATACATAGTCCAGGCTAGCCTCATGTGTCATGCTCCTCCCTCCTGCTTCAGCTTCCTGAGTGTTGGTAATTACAGACATAAGCCACCATGTCTGGCTTCCTCTGTTCTTATGAAAAGTCCATTTGATTTAAGCTTTTCCGAATTAGTATTCTGTTACTTGCTTCCCCAATTAGCCCTCATTTATAGACGATTAAAACACATTTCTAGTAACTCCACTTTCCATATGTTTAAATGTTAAACACTTATTTACTGTTTCTATTTTAATTGTTCCTTTTCTGTTTTCCCAAAGACAGTGCCCTGAATACCTTAATGTTTAAGGTATCCTAATGTCATAAGACATGACACTCTGAGAAGCTGATCATCAGAATAAACATGAGTCATTCTTTATTAATTGGTTCCCATGTTTTGTACCAGATAACAGAGTCTGGCGAAAGTCAAGTTTACTAAGACACTCAGCACTTGACCCTACTCCCAGGCCATCTAGCAGCCATGAAAGCTGTGTCAAGCAAGGACGCTAGGTAGACAGTTATTGACTGGTGCCTTAGTTATATTTTCAATTGCTTTGAAGAAATACCCATGACCACAGCAATACTTACAAAGGAAATCATTTATTTGGGGTGGCTTAAGGTTTTAGACATTTAGTCCATTATCCTCATGGCGAGAAACATGGTGGCATACAGGCAGACATGGTGCTGGAGAAGGAGCTTAGAATTGTACATTTTGATCCACAGGCAACAGGAAGTGAATTGAGACACTGGGCAAAGCTTGAGCATAGGAGACCACAAAACCCACCTCTACACTTCCCAACAAATCCATACCTACTCCAGTGAAGCCACGCTTCCTAATAGTGTCACTTCCTATGAACTTATGAGGGCCAATTTTATTCAAAATACCCCATAGTTGGCCTACCCAGGAGACAGAACTCACTACCTAATACACTGGAAGCTTTATAAAATATGTACATATATACATATGTATATGTATATGTGTATGTGTGTGTGAGAGAGAGAGACCTAAATGAAATCACCAAATAACAGGGGAGTCAGAGCCCCGACTAGCCATCTCTCATGAAGCTTTCAGTACTGAGATTGGGTTACGACCCGGGCAAAGGCTATAGGTAGCTCTCCACAGATGCACAGCAAGGTCCTGTTCCTGAAGACTACACCTACATTAAACTCATTAAACATGGAGAGGAGCACACGCACACGTACACACAATACAAAGAGGAGGGGTTTATTTCATTTACAGGTTCCCAGTGAATTTCAAGCTGCACAGGGAGGGAGAGCAGTCACAGTAGAGTGGCCCCTTGGGGAGTGGCCGTGGGGCTGTGTTCCAGAGACTCCTCACATCATGACAGACCAAGAAGAGAAAGCGAGGTCCAAATTATGGGTCAGGAATAACCTTTCTAGGCCTGCCCCTAGAGACCTCCCTACTACTAAAGGATCCAAAGTGTTCCTAAATAGCATAACTAACTGAAGAATAAGCCCTAAAACATGGTCTGTGGGAGACACTTAAGTCAAACCATAACAATGTGTTGAAACAAGCCAGAGAAGGATCACAGAGACAAGCCTGGCCTGGAGGAGGCAGTCCCAGCCAAGGGTGGGTCGAAGTGCAAGGCGTGGTGTGTGATTGCAGAAGTATATGCACACTCACTTATCTACATGTGGATGAATCGGCACTAGGGACTTGTGGGAAATTAAGCAAGAACAAATTTTGTGGCGATGTTGAAGGGAAGGCAGAATAAATTTGGAATCACTGCAATAGGTTGTTTAGATCTAAAGGAGGAATAACTTTGGGCATAGATACCCCCTTTCAGGTGGTGACCTAAGACAGAGAGGATGAACAATAGCCAGGCTATGGAACACGTGTCCAGTGTATACTCCCTTGTACTCCACAAAATAAAGGCAAGAAGGAAGAAATGAACAAAGGAGGGAAGGAAGGAGAGAAGCAAAGAAGAAAAAGGAAAGGAATCCATCCTGGCATGTTGTAATAGAGACATAAAACATAACTCACAAGCCTGGATAATTGGATCTATTTGAAGTGTTGAAAACATGAACAGTCTCAACTGATGTCAATGTCTTCAAGTGCAGAAGCCCAGTGGTATCAGTCACAGCATGGTACCTTGAGGGAGTAAAAGCCAAAGTGTGATTTCCTTCTTCGGAGGAAGACCTCTCCTGCTTATCGATTTAGCCGGCTATAAGTTGCTCCCTGTGTGAGGCCCAGGGCAGATTAGCATGTGGAGTTCATCAGGGAAACCTGGGAAGCAGGACCAGTGTCTCCTCTCTTGTCCACATTCCTGGGTTTCTTAGCCAAAAGGACAAGAAGCTTGTGCTAGGTTTCTCAAAAGGAACTCGGGGATCATCACTTGGTGGTGTGACATGAGCAATGGTCACATTATTTTGCTGACAAATAAATCCAATCCTATTCGATGCTGTCAGCACACTGGACCCAATGCATTCTTCCAAATAGAAGTGATCTATCAAAAGAGAAAATGAGAAGACATTAACCACTGCCGATTCCTGCTATAGAGCTGCTTTCAGCCTCTGAGTACCCAGGGACCACCCCCTGTCCTCTGTCATTCAGATGGCTTTATTTATTGATTCATTTTTCTAGGCAAGCTTTAGATACAGCGTCCACAAATGGCACCAAGTAGCAACACTTCAGTAGAAGCAAATGTTCTAAGGCTGTTCACACTCTGTAGGGAGTTTTGGAGTCACATAGTCCTGGAAGTCAATCTCTGCACTGATACAACTTAGATTCTCATAATACAACCACGTACTTAAGTTTCAGGTTAATTGTGGAATTTAGAGCATAGATCAACAACTTTCTATAGGTTCTGTTCAATTTGTTTCCTACTGTGACAGGGTCTTGCTATGTATCCCTATGAGCATATGGGGCCATTCTTACTCAAACCACCACACAGGGCTTGAATTCACCATGTTTCTGCCTCCACTATCAAGTGCTCAGATTCCAGGCATGTATTACCATACCCAGCTTTAGGAATAATTTTGAATACTATCATGTAACTGAAACTATAATCCTTTCTAGAATCACATGGCCTATGAATATCTGCATTTTTTTCTGCACCCAGGTATTCTAGAGACCTTAAGTCAGTCTGCATAGTATGTGACATCGATGAACAGCTGTTCAGTGCCAGCACTTTCTGTGATTAGAGATACACTGGAATCTGTGCTGGCCAGATCTATGTCAACTTGACACAAACTGCTGTCATCTGAGAGGAAGGGACCTCAATTGAGAAAATGTCTCCAAAAATCAGACTGAGGGACAGCCCGTAGAACATTTTCCTAGTAGTTGATGGGGGAGGGCCCTGCCCGTTGTGAGTGGTACCATCCCTGGATGGTTGTCCTGGGTTCGATAGGAAAGCAGGTTGAGCAAACCATGTAAGCACATCAGTAAGCAGCACTCCTCCATGACCTCTGCATCAGCTCCTGCCTCCAGGTTTCTGCCCTGTTTGAGTACCTGTCCTGACTTCCTTCAGTGATAAACAGCGATACAAAAGTATAAGCCAAATAAACCCTTTTCTCCACAACTTGCTTTCTGGTCATGGTGTTTTGTCACAGCAATAGAGGCCCTAACTAAGAGCATCCTAGCTTGGCTTCTTCCAGATACTCTGATACTTAAAAAATTAACTAATTTTTCTAAGACTCAGTCTTCTTGTCAATAAAATAGGATAATGGTGCTTAGTCCAGGGTTGTGTTGTGATAAGTAAGTTAGATGAAGAGGTAAGATTAGTTATCTGTTAGCACTGTTGATTACCCCGAAATAAAGTGGTCAAAGAACAATGGACATAAATTACCTCACAGGTTTAGGAAATCAGGAACTTAGAGGTGACTTAGCTGGGTCTAGATCAGGCTCCTGCCAAGCTCACAGATGTCAGCCAGGGATATATAGGATCCTCAGAAGGCTAGCCTGGGCTGTGGTATCTGTCTCTGACCTTGGTGCTGGTTTTCTACCGAAGGCCTAAGTTTTTCCCCACACAGGCCCCTGAAAAGGATTGGTGCGGTAGTCCCAGAGCATGTGATTACTCTGAGAGACCTAGGCAGAAGTCGCGGTGCTTTTCATGATAAACACAGCACCTGTGTTCACCATGTTCCGCTGTCAACAGATCAGCACTGATACAACCCAGCAGGGAAGAGCACACTGGGGGAAAAGCCAGGGATTCAGGTTCATTGTCAGCTGGCTTGGTTGCTGGGAGTCACGGGATGGCTCGCACCAAGTGAAAGCTGTTGACAGAACACCCCACTCTGAGTTTCTTGTCACTTCATTAAGAGAGGACCTTTCTGTAATGATTCAGCCACACAACATGGCTGATACGTCCGGGTTCCAGGGCCACGCATGTGCAGACAAGCCCTCAGGCAGAAGTGCCTAATGGCCCCGGGAATCTTAAAGGGCCCCGCGTGCTCCACGTGCAGCATGGTTGCATTATCTACGTACGATGCAGCTGCGTGAGCCCTTGCACAAATGCGTGAGCTCTGTCATCTGAGTATGACGTAACCATGCCATCCCCCTGTGCACACGCGGTAGACAGCCCTGGAGGCGCCATCTTCAGCTCTCTTTCTCTCTCTCTCTGCACACTGACTTCCCCAGGCCTGTACACACCCATCTCTAATATAAACTCCTAAGCAGGATTGTTGCGTGTTCCATGTTTCCGTCTCACTCGCGCCAGGTAATTTCATTGCTGCCATAACAAATGGAAGGAGTTTCCTTACATCCAAGCCTTTTACTATCTAAGCTCTAAGTCCCAGTTTTATAATCTCACCTTTTGTGATATCTATATGATCCTACCTAATAACCTACTTCCGGAACAGCGCAGGCAAGTTTGGGAGCAGGCCAGACTACGTGCAGACTAGGTTCACCAAACACATGCCACACACCCTCCAGGAGCAGAGGCAGTCCCTGAGTGGGATTATAACACCCCAGGTGGAATTTTAGCTAGGGATCGGTTTTTGACTTGCCTTCTGGCAGGTCTCCGTATATAATAATATAATAAGTTCTCAGAGGTCATTCAAGATACAAAGGAAAATCCTTCTACATTTTTTGGAATGCCTCACTAAAGCCCTGTTACAATATACTAACTTAGATCCAGAAACCACAGAAGACATGGTTACTCATGACTCATTTTTTTTTCTCAGTACTACCCTGACATAAGGCTAAACTTAGACATTTGGAGAAAGGCCCCTTGACCCCATAAGCGGAAGTCTTAGAGTTGCCTTCTAAGGTGTACCATGTGAAGAATGACAAAGCCCTCAATCATCACTATCACATGCTAGCCACGAGGCGACAGACTGCCCAACCCGTGCTGTCCACGCTGCTTCCTTGCCTCACCCCCCAGGGGCTTGAGAACCACCAGGCCCATGTTTCAAATGTGGTAGAGCTGGTCACTGGGCCCGAGCATGCGCTAATCCTCATCTTGGTCCCACGAAACCTTGTCTGAGATGCCATAGGGAAGGACAGTGGGCAGTCGATTGTCCTCATGCACATCGTGGCATGGAGACATCAAACCCAGAAAATTCCCTAGTTAACCTTCTAGATCTGGCTCTGGATAAGTAAGGCTACCTGGGCTCCTTTGACCCAACCACAACCTTCATCTGTAATAGGAAGCCATGGATAAACATCACAGTATCAGGACTGCCCATCTCCTTTCTCTTGGACACCAGAGCCAAATGCTCTGTACTAAGGGAATTCTGGGGACCTACGTTTCCTTCTAGTTTCCCTATTGTTGGGATAGGGGGACAGCCTTATCTCCTTCAGCAGACCCTGCCACTTAACTGTGTTTTTAGGGGTATTTATCTCACTCTTTCATTTTTAGTTATGCTAACCTGCCAGTACCTCTTATGGGAAGTAGGAGCTTCCATTTTGTTTGCTCCTTCCATTCAACTTACCCCAGACTCTCCATTAGCTCCCCACCTCCTTCTTCTAGCCCCCCAACCTCCCAGCTCCAATGTGTCTTTTCCTCTTCCAGCTTCTCAGGTGAACCCCCAACTCTGGGACACCCAAAACCACTCTGTTGCTAAACGCCATTCCCTCATCCTTATCCAATTACAAGATCCTAACAAGTACATTACCCAAGCTCAGTACCCCCTCTCTCTCCAGAGCCTTAGGGGACTTAAGCCTATCATCTCTGACCTTCTAAGAAAAAAGCTATTTTGCCCCACCTCTTCTCCCTTTAACACCCCTGTTAAAAAACCTAATGGAACCTATCACCTGGTTCGAGACCTCCAGCTCATTAACTCCGCATTGGTTCCTCTTCATCCTGTAGTGCCTAACCCTTACACACTTCTTTCCACTATCCCCCCCAGGAACCTCCCACTTCTCAGTTCTAGATCTTAAGGATGCTTTTTTTTCCCCCTCTATTCTACTCAGCTCTCAATCTCAAAATATCTTTGCCTTCACCAGGCTGACCAAGCAACTAGAACAGTAGCATTCCAGAGCCCAAACCTACCTCAATCACCTCAGGGGGTTCATACAGTCCAGCCCACATTCTCACAGACACCCCCTGACACCTGGAAAATTCTGTCCTACCTACATCAGCTCTTTGGACTTAGAGTTCTTAAAAACTATCAAGGCCGCTTGTAAAATCTGTCAGATTCCAAGGCCAAATATCGTAGCTTCCCTTTTCCTACCCACCAGGCCAGGGGCTCCCTCCAGGAACTGACTGGCAGCTTGATTATACTCATATGCCCACAGTCAGATAGATGAGTTAAATATCTCCTGGTTTTTGTGGACACCATGTCGGGGTAGACTGAAGCATTTCCCACCACTAACAAGAGGGCCCAGACAGTTTCCGGTATTCTTCTCCAAGAAATCATCCCCCAGTTTGGAATCCCAATCTCTCTTCAGTCAGGTAATGGCCCAGAGTTTACCTCCCAGATCTCTCAAACTTTATGTAAGGCTCTTAACATTCCCTGGCATTTTCATATCCCATACTATCCTCAGTTTTCAGGGAAGGTAGAACAAACTAACCATTCCTCAGAAAATGTTCTTGTTAAGATGTCAGAGGAGCGTCCCCTAGACTGGGTAAACCTTTTGCCTCTGGCCCTTCTTAGGCTTAGGGCTTTCCCCAAAAGCCCTCTTTTCATCTCGCTCTTTGAACTCATGTATGGGCAGCCGGTTTTAACCGCCGGCCTCTCACCCAAAACCGCTCCCCTTCTTCATCACCTGTTTACTCCGCTGTGATCCCATCTTCGCTCCCTATTATGGGATTTTATTGACTACTCATTTCCTCAACCATGTGCCAATTCATGCCCACCACCGATTAAAATAGGAGATGGGGTACTATTCTCTCCCCCAGACCAATGCCCCTCACTCCTTTCCCCTAAATGGCAGGGCCTCTTTAGAGTAACTTGTAAATCCCACAGCTACCAAGCTTGAGGGACTCTCTCATTGGATTTACCCGTCTCATCTTAAACATTTTATTCTCCTGCTCAAGATACCCCCTCCTATATAGTAACTCAA